TGAATTCGAGACCGCACAGGCTGAAGTGACGTACAAAAGTAATGGCGAGTGCAATAAATACTTAATATTTTTATATTTTTTTTTTTATAATTTCTTTCCGGTTTTTTAAGCTTAGTAGATTATGGTATAGCTAAATAATGCTGCTCAGTTATTAATTCATTAATAATTATTTTCTAATGTTTTCTTTTTTAATTTTATTTAATATGTAGCTATATTAGCTATATTATTGTGGTCAGTGTATCTGCTTTTATCAGATTTAAATCTTATATAATATTTTTATTATACTACATTTGTCTTGCGTATATGGACTATGAGAAAGCCTTTGATTCCGTCGAAATTTAGGCGATGCCGCAGTCCCTTTAGCGGTGCCAAGTGGACTTCCGGTATATCGAAGTGCTGAAGTGTTTGTACACTAGGGCTACGATGACTATCCGAATACAGAAATACAGTACGAAACCTATCCAACTGCAAAGAGGTGTAAGACAGGGTGACGTTATATCCCCGAAACTCTTCACCGCTGCATTGGAAGACGATTTCAAGCTTAAGAAATGGTATTAATATCAATGGCTAGTACATCACTCACCTTCGATTTGCCGATGATTTAGTCGTTATGACAGAATCGCTGGAGGACCTAAGCACTATGCTCAATGACCTCAATTGTGCCTCCCAACGGATAGGTCTTAAGATGAACATGGACAAAACAAAGATCATGTGTAAGGTCCATGTCACACCTATGCCGGTAGTTGTTGGGAACACTAAACTCGAAGTTGTTGACGAATATGTTTACCTGGGACAAATAGTCCAACTAGGTAAGTCCAACTTCGACAGAGAAGTCAATCGACGGATTCAACTCGGTTGGACAGTGTTTGGGAGAATACGAAACATCTTCTCGTCAGGTATACCCTCAAAACTTGAAAGCGAGATTCTACAACCAGTGCGTGTTGCCAGTGATGACTTATGGATCTGAGACGTGGTCCTTCACTGCAGGCCGTATAAGGAATCTCAAGATCGCCCAGCAAGCTATGAATAGGGCTATGTTCCGGGTTCCTCTACGTGATAAATTTAGAAATGAGAATATCCGCAGTGGAACCAGAGTTACTGACATGGCTCAATTAAACGAATTAGTAAGCTGAAGTAATAATGGGTCAGCTATATAGCTCGAAGAACCGACAACCGATGTGGAAGCAAGGTTCTCGAGTTGACTCCCCACTAGATGTAGAGACAACTTACTAAAACATGCAGGAAGTCGATATATGCAGGTGGCTCAGGAACATGCTTTGTGGTATTCTTTGGGGGAGACCAATGTTCAGCAGTGAACTAGTGAAGGGCTGTAATGATGGTGCTAAAATATTTTCAATCGAATAAGTACCATACATTCATAGCTGTAGTAGTATGCTTGTTTATATAACAATAATGTTTTTCAGACCGAATTTCTATACAAGACAAGATTATACTATTGAAAAGATTATAGTATTGTGTGTTCCGATTGGACGGCAATACGAAATGACTGGAGAAAGATCTGCACCAACGGTTTTACGTGCTTTCCGATGCACATAAGTAAAACACCGCCAACTTCCTGACTCAGGGCTGCCCATGAGAAACAGATAGAAAAATCCAATAAATTATATCTATATATAACGTCAATATGTTTTTTAGTCAATATATTTACAACTAATATGTGATAATATGTGTGTCACACATAGTGATCAAACATTTATACGAGTATCTATGACAGTTTTGAATATTTCAAAATATAATATAAAGTCCTTTTTGGGTCCACAACAGTTTCTGTAATGGCCCGAGAAATAATGTAGACGAAGCTCGAAACCAGCCATATGTAGCCAGGTCATATGTAACCTGTCTTTATACTGCTAACTTGTAAACTGGAAATATATCTTTATATATAAAAGTTACGTGACACATTTTGTCCGCGATTAACTCCTAAACTACTAAACTGATTTCAATGAAAATGAGAGATAGGATAGTTTTTATCCCGATAAGTGACCCTCAATATTTTTATTGTGAATTAAAGGATTTTTTTATAGGAAGGTTTGTTGGAAAGGGCAGAACATATCTGCTTGGTCAGCAAGTATAATATATGCTCGTGGTAGATTAAACAAAGAAAGTTAAACGTAAGTGGTAAATTAGACATAAAAGTGACAGTTCCAATTAGTATTATTTATAATCTATATTAAATTTTAAAAAAAATTATGTTTCTTCTTCTTCATCATCATCTTCCCTTGCAGGGAGAATTTGCCTTAAACGTCACGCTTGGCTGCCAGATTGACGATCGCATTACATATCGTATTGCACCTTTTAAGCTGCTATACTTCACCGACCTGTGTATTCTATCGTCTAGTCGAACCTTACGACATCTCAGGACGAAATGTTGTGACGCATTCCCTTACATCGCTATCACACAGCAAGTAATAAAAATAATGAAATCTAAATTAAAGGAAAGGTTTTTCGCATTTAATACGAAGCAGTTTCAGGAGACAAGCATAAACGAAAACAAAGGTTTCATTATTCAAGATTTATTGTATTTCGTCTAGAATGTAAATGGATACATACGTACATAATTCAAACAATGAAAAAAATATTAAATTCTATACAACTAAACATAATATTAAAATATGGCTAAACGACAGAGAACTGTCCATTTATTGGCACTTGGAATGTTGTCTTCATTCTTATCACCTCTAAATTTTATATGAATAACTTTATTAAAGCATATATTATTAAGCAATTTACGTATATAGTGTCTTATATGACATTTCATATATAATATATTTATATATCGTGTATATAGACATTGGAATTAATGAAACTTCCACACAGTTATTTCGCAACTACAACGAAATATGGCAAAGTTAAAATATAATTAAATATGCCTGAACCTGAACTGATTTACACTAGAATAAGTTCTTATAGATCGTGTAGCAATGTATGGTTAAATATTCAACGTTTTACGCTTGTGTCTACACAATTTGTGGGGGAATTGCAAGAATTCTAACTTACTACCGTCTAATCTCCAAAAGACCGTAAAGCTATAAAGGACGATTTTGAGTTATGCACCAAAAGAAAATTAAGTCTCAAAAAGAAGTTCTTTAAAAGAAGACTTAATAACTTTTGACAGAAGTTCTAAAGTGGGTTTCATACCTATAAATATGTTTATTTAACTATATAACAATAAACCAAATGTCGACAAAGGCATTTGAGAATTGAGACGGCAGTTTACGCATAGACGTTGATACATCGTTGTACACGATTTAAGAAGATTTTCTAGTGCAAATACTTGAATCTCATAAATAATACCCCAATGTTAAATCATATTTTTACATTTACGTTCGCCTGCGCCTTTCTTTAACAGAGGTTAATAGAATGTTAAAGGGTATTATGTATGGGAAAAATATTTCCTTATTACTAATTATCAGCTATGTTCACCTGCATTCAATAATCGTTGTGTAATATACAGTACAAACATAATATTGATATACAAATTTATTTTTCATAAACTGCACTTTTAGAAGGTCGTCAATAATATTAGTTTTAATAAAAGTCTACTTAAGCAAAAAGTTGCATGTATATATTTTTGTGTTATACATAGTGATAAAATTACTTTGCGAATTTAAGTACTTATTTTTACCTACTTGAAATTATTATGTCGAAAATAAACCAAAAGATAGACATCGTTATACAAATTTTAACTGTGTGTTTTGAATAAACAAATATGTTTTATATCAAAATGTTTTCTAGTAGACCTCTCTCTGTAAATTAACTTATTCTCACAATGGACGCAATTAAAGATAGTTTATCGAAAATAATATCTGTACGTTGTACGTATCAAAGCTTATAATAATAATAACAATATTTTAAATATTATATAAATATTATATTACATTAGAATATAGCTAAGCGGTTAAAATGTGTAAATGCTACCGTCGCTTATCCTAATAAATACTATTTACAAAATCACCAGAATGCGTTGTTTTAGAATTTAGATAATCTTTATCTACTGAACTAATAACATTGATATTTTTAAGTTGGCACTTTTGGACGTTTTAATTGTAAGACAAAACAATAACTCGATGTTAAGTTTAAGAATCATTGCAATTTCCCATTCTGGCGGTGTTAATGAAGAAGCACGAATACTGTAATGTAAAATGAACGCTCCAGTGGCGTATAGCGCCACAGTGATTTTCTTGTGACGTCATCACCACCTCAAACACGTGGTCTCCTTTCTTGGATTGTAATGAATTTCTCTGCAACAAAGGACTTTTATTAATACCGCATAATATATAATCAAGTAAAACAAAATTTGGTAAATACATTTATTCATTAGTATTAAATTGTTAATAATAATGCTTGTAGGGCTTATTACAGCACGACCGATGCTTCATATCTATACATAGTATATGAACAATATACTACATGCGGTCCTCTATATTATTTCGCTTTTGCTGATATTTTTATTTTTTTTATGTCAGAGTGTACAATTGAAGGCCCCATATGCGTGATCATCCATGAGCATTTTTATTTTATTACATTACCATCTAGATAAAATTTCTCAGTCTGTTTTTAAACTAGTTCTTTTATATTTAATAATAATAATAGTAATAATTTATTTCTCAACACATTACATTATATTAACAATCTCCATTTTTTACATAGAATAGGCACGAAGCAAAGTGAGAGATTGATGCCTAAACGACGGATCTTTGTTTTAGGTCATCAGGTCTCCCTCGAATAAATATCTTTCTCTTTTTAACCGGAATACAGCAGTGGGTACAATTTTGCCAGCAATAAACATTGTGATATAAGGAAGAGGGCGGTATTAACCCAGATGGACACCCAGGCAGCAAAGGAGCCCTGGTACCCTTAAATTGCTTTTCTGTATTAATTTTTATACATACATTATATCTATAAAAAATATTGTTATAATTCTTACTGTATGTTGTAAGAGAGACCGCTGTGGTAGGATCGTGCTAACTCCATCACCTTCACCGCCACAAGCATTGACTACATCTACAACAATTGAGAAAAACATGTTATTAAAAATGTTTAATGTTATCTTCAACATTTACATTAAATTTTCAATCAATAACATATGATCCACAAAAATACAAATAATTCAGTAAATTTAGATGTTCTAAAATAAATAAATATTGAAATTTTATTAATCTGTGCAATTTAAAATCAATATTTACAATTTAAAAACGTACTTCTGTTAGTTTTCAAACATAAAATCAATCATTAAAATTTTTAACAATCGGAACTAAAATTAGCAAACTGTCACCAATACAGTAAAAAAGTACAATGATATTAATTTTTCTATTGAAGATACAGTTAGAAAGTCCACCGCTACCAAACCGTTACAACTCTAAAACGAGATTAGACCCAACAAATCAGTTACAAAACAGTTGATCCTCCCCCAAATCCCCATTTTTAGTACAAAGAAAAAACATTTTAAAAAGATTTAAAACAGTTTCCATAAATGTGCTGGCCATGTGTAAAAGAAATCAACAGTGAATTGAGCAGAACTTTTTTTATATTCGTAGATTTAAAAGTCGACCGTTAGTCACATTGTTTAGTGTTTTCTTTTACTCAAAGATACTAATTGAATTTTTGTGTTGTATGTAAATGCTTCAATTGTCATGACGAATAAGCATAATCGTGATGAATATTAACTCGAGCACGGACTTATACCTGAATTTTTATTTTATCTTGTCACTGATAACAAGCGACAGTTGGAAGTGATAATACGCTAATGATGTCGTATTAATTACGAAGATGGTCGATTCACATAGCCGATTAACGCTGGCGAAAGGTTGCTTTTAAATGGCAAACATCTACAACAAACGGCATTTAGAAATAACTACGCAGAATAATAATGTTGCTCACAATGCAAGCGCTTGTCATATATTGGAATAACTTATTCAACTTTGATATCTAACATGTAAGTATTTAACTGGTTTAAGTTGATTTTCGCGTAAGCAACTGCAAAAAGATTCGAAACCAACCTTTAATAAAAATACGCGCAAGTTAAAAACACAATTTTTACTATAGAGATACGACTCAGGGGTCTTCAAGAAAGTAGCCTACTCCTTTCTATAAGACCGGCAACGCACCTGCAACTCCCTTAGTGTTGCAGATGTTCATCAGCGACCGTGATCACTTACAGGTAAGCCGTATGCTCGTTTGTCTCCTCTTTCATAAAAAAATATGATCAAATACCATGCAATCCGCAATATAAATATTTTTTGTTATAAACGGCACCAAATAGATTTTTCTTCTTATTTTTCAAAAGCGTGTAGATAATATTATAAATCCGTTTCGATCACATTCGAATGCAAGACGATTTTGCCACGGCGATGCAGTTTAAAGGGCGTAGGTGACAGCGGCGGCATTTATTCACTTCCGTACGATACAAGACTGGGTTAGTTCGTGAGCACACACCCCGTATGTGCGACTGTGGGAACAGTGCTCTTTGTTTCTATATACAGGCGGTTGTTAATTTTATAACTATGAGAATGGTCAGGCTAATTTAGATTGCAGACATAATATATGCAACAATTAATATAAAAAACTAATTAGGTAAAAGTTAACAAGAATCTATTGACTTCTGTTAACCTTTATCGTCTTTAATCGACTTGAAAAAGAAGGAGGTACTCAATCTGACTGTATTTTATTTTTATTTTTTATGTGTGTTACCTCATTTTTTTTTCTAGGTGAACCGATTTTGACGATTCTTTTTTTTTATTTAAAAACTGGTGCTTCTCATGTGGTTCCATATAAATTTGATTAAGGTCTGGCTTTTTTGAGTTATAGGTACTTAATAATTTATATTGAAGTTGGTTGTACAATTTTTTTTATTTTACCACTTGTCTATGACATACATCTTGTTTTCTACTATGTTCTAGGTTATACACTATATAGGTAAGTTCTTTTAAAAAAAATATTGTCACTTTGTTACGGGCATTCCGATTTATTAAACATTATTCTAATGAATACCAATAAAACAAACATAATTAGACTATTAACGCAAACCTATAACGATTGCAATATGAAAGATAATAAACAATCATATAATCAGCTTTTAAAAGACGACTATTTCTAATCTGTATTATTAGGATACATCCTGTACAATATACAAGATTTCTCAAGCCTAATTAATGGCGTTCGCCACCTCGGTCGCGATGCGCGAACAATTGTGTAGACCCGAGTGTGTGCAATTATATCGCCTCTTTTTGGTTTCCTTACAAAACACCTCGCGAATGCTTGCTTAGAAATAAAGAGCCACTACAGAACTAGCAAAGAAATATATATTTCGTTTTCTGACTAAGTAAATGAAATTTTAATAAAATTCACTTCTAGTGAAGACAGATCGCAATCAGACATCTCGCTTCCTTAACACTGCCACCAATCTTATTTATGGTACTAGTATCTATTGTACGTTTGTTGTGAACATAATGATTATACCGCCATATACCTCTCTGATGCAATGACGTTTTCTGATATTCCCCATAATTACTTCCATACGTCTCCCAGGGGGTTAAAGGGGGTGATGGAGTCTCTTACACCGCCACTATACCATGACATAATCAATGAAATTAGCCTAATTCTTGCATAATATATCAAATCTTAACACTTCAGACTTAAAGTTTTAACTGAAATCGAACAATTGATTCTTGTACGAATCGTGAATCGAAAGGATCGACCTATCGACGACACGGACGATGTGCAAGCGATAAGGGCAAACCGCGAGCTGAGCCGATGACCCAGTGCGCTAACTTAATGGGACATCGCACTCTCGATTCTGTTTTGATTCATTAAGTCTGTTCCCGCTTTTGTTGTACGTATTTAGACAGTGGGAAAGCCGTACTCGATTAAGATAAAGCACGCCTCAAATGTTACCGAAATACTTAATTTTTTAAATAATTCTCACTACTACTACTTACTACTATTCAATTATTAAAAAATTCAGTTTAAACTTATCTCCTATGTAGTTTTAAAATAATTCCGTTTCAGTCAAATAGTGTCCAACGCGAACACTATACATTGAATAAAACTACATGGTCCCCCCCCCCCTCCCGTGACCATGAGTTGCTGTCAAGCACCCGAAACGTTGGGAATTAAAATAGTAAATTAAACGCGATAAAATCCGTAAAACATAGTTTTATTCAATACTAAAATTAGTGAAATAACGTGGTGCAAGATTTTGTAAGAAATGCAACGAAACGCATAAGATTTTGAAATTACGGGACTGTTTTGCAATATAAGCCATCCCTGGTTGGCAGTTTTAATTGATTACTATTTGATGTTATGTAAATTATTTTTAATTTTTTTTTAAGATTAATGTCGCAAATATTATCTATATTTTCAAGTATAAGCTAACACATACAGCTTACAAAATACGGGGTAGAACAGAACCGCGTGTGAAATACACGTCACTGAGCCGATGCAACGTGATTGCCCTCGGCGCAGAGTACCGCTACCGATTATTTTGCTAAGTACATACATATATGGCTATTCGATGGTGCAGTGCTGTCCTGGTAGACTTTTTGATAGTTTTTTTTAATGTATTTGATTTATCTCCTGATTCCTGTATTTGCAATAGCTGAAATATCTTTGTCCCATTGTATTAATGATTTTCAACATAATAAAATACTAAATAACAATCTTGAACTCTTAAAGATTTATGAATTAGCATTTCTACCCTAATCCAATCCCAAAAAAAGAAACGGAAAGATATCTCATTAAAATGATGGACCTTTAAAATCGAAAAGATGACAAGATCGTTTGATGTTCACTTTATTCTTATCAGTTAGGTTTTTGCTAAATGAATTTTCCTTGGTTTTTATTTGCGAACATAAATTTGTATTTAAAATTTCAATTATACCTGATGCAAAGTTAAAATAACCGAGTACTTAATAATAGGAAGGAAATGGTGAAGTGTGTAAATAGAAAATCTTTATTTTAAGGATATATTCTTCGTAAAAATGAAATATAAACATAAAATTACCATATAAATCCGAGAACAAAATTACTTTTAAATAAAAGAAATTAAGTAAAAATTTCAACTGAAGTATTATTATAACACTGTTAAAGTAAATATAACAACTTTAAAAAATTCTTACGAAGGGCAATGTATACGAATAGCTTTCATGGCTCTTCCTACAAATTGCGGCTTTAACATCATGGAGGTTAAGTGTGGTGCACGTAGTTTTTCCGCGTACATAGGGCTGTTAGTTGTGCAATTATAAAATGTCTACCGACATTAATAATTTTATCATAAATAAATACATTAACTGTTTATAATTATAATCAAATAAATGTTGCTGTTACTATTTGTTACACTGGTGATGCTTCTTACACCAGCCGTGCTAATATTTCTCAGGAATACGTCATCGAGTATCGGTACAAACTTTTGTCTGAAGTCGATACATAATCGCTAAATATAAAATGGAAGCGATTTATAAATAATATTATAATTTTATAATATATTTTAATATTACTCATAAATATATATTAATATCAATTACAAAATAAAGAAAACCACAATATATTTATCGATAATACACATTTTTGAACGACAAGTAAACAAGAGTTGTCACACAAAATCATCACTTTTATATCAGTCTATCACAAATCCATAACAAAATACTCCTCTAGACCTAATTTCGGTCTCGGCGGCCAGTCTTACACAAGACTAGCCATTTGCGCAGGACAGGATTAAAGTGCCCGAGTATATACGCAAGCACAGGTGCATGCACTCCTTATTCCCTCTCTCTTATGGCGCGTCATCACCAAAGTTTTCAACATTTGTCAACACGTGTTGCCGACAAATATTTCTGTAATCACCTAGTTTTAGCAACAAAACGAAACAATGTCGGGAATCTTGTTTCCATGTTCGGCGGCAACATCAAAGGAATACGCTTCTTGCCGACATTTGTTCCCTCGATGGAGACGCTTCTTGCAACATTTTGAAACAAATGTCGTCAACTTTTGTTGATTTGTCAACAGTC